CTATACAATTTAGTTACTATGAAAAAATGGTTAAGTAAATAATTGGGTATTGAAAGTATTCAACGCGGGCCGCGATACTGGTAACAGAGGAAGAGGAAGGCCTGCTCAGCGTTGAAAAGACCAGGTGGAGAAAGGCTTGGCTTCACTTGGCATTTCCGATTTAGTTTTTCACATACATTTTTGCACCACCCTAATGTACATTCGTACATGCATTTGCAATTTAATATTTTTAATTTTTATAGCGATTGCTGCGGCATACCTACGTACAGTTGTGAGGCTGTCAGCATTGCGTTAAGAGTTTCATCTTTTATTGCTTTTTAAATTAATTTCGATTTCACTGATTCGCTGGTTGCATTCCCCTCACTTGATTATATAGGAACACTGTGCGCCACCGACTTAACGAAACATCCCTGCAGGGAAAGCTACTAGTTGTTAACTAAAATGCTACCAGTTTACATTTCAGTCCAACTAGTTCGCATTCTATCCTTTGCTAATGTTAGCGACTGGTATTTTTAATATGGTGGCATCCTACGAGATTTCAATTTCCTTGTTATGCATCAGCACCTACCAGTAAAAATACTAGTAGCACTATACAAGTAGATGGGACAGTCTGCTCGATGACCGACTGAGCAAAGCATTAGGGTGCCACTCCTGAGGTCTGAGGCGCAAGCCCTTGCGCAGGGATTTGTTTATTTTTTTTTATATATTCCACAATTTTAATGTATTTTTTCAATTTAGTTTTTTATTAAAATTTTTTAAATTTTATTTAAAAAAAAAAGAAACAGTAGTTTGTTTTTAATTTCGTTTAATTTTTACGGTACAAGTATTTCTTTACATCCGTTTTTTCTCAAATGAAATTAGATTTTCAAATCTATAATTTATATTTAAATTGAAATTATTATATTAACTTATATTAATTAAATTTTATAGCTCTTAACCACTTTCAAACCTGTGATCTCAGAACCCGAACTGGTAGTCTTTACGCGGCCCCACAGCCGACATTTTATTCTTGACTTTGACAGTTCAAAGCTAGATGTCGCTGAACGCTTAAGTTGTTCGAAACTGTCGAACTGATAGGCCATCGCTTTAGCTCATACTAGTTAATGAACTGGTATTTTTTTTACTGACTGATTTGACTTTTCAAAGCAGGGATTTGATGCACACGCACGCACACACACACACACACGCGGGCATGAGTTTTGTATGTGCAGGCGTGTCCGGCTTGCAGCGCACAGTGGGATTTAGGCAGAAAAACAAATCAGTTTTTTGAAGATTCAATTCTTATAAACCAATATTTGAATAAAAAAAAAAGCATTACAACTTTTTACGAAATTGGCAATTTTATACAAAATAAGAACAACAGAATTCAGAAGAATTTTATTTAACCAATGCTCATTGAGACTATCAGTTCGTCGGAATATTTTTTTTTATGTATGTTACCGCATAACTTTGGATCACGTTAACCGATTTTCATAATAAAGGTGATAGGTATCTCAGGGGAGGTCCCATACTAATTTTGTTTACATCCGATAATTGGATCGAGAAGAAATTACCGATAATCTTAAACTTTTATATAAGAATTGAAGTCGGTTCTGTTTTTTGCTTAAAAATACTTGTATAAATATAAGCAAACAAAAGTTATAATTTATAGATGCCGACTTTGACACTTTTTATGGACAAAAACTTTGTTCCATCGGTCTTCCTACGTCTTCTAGCTATAGAAAAAGTAAAGCCGGGAATCATTTCTTTTGACTTTTGAAAAAAAAAAAATAAAAATTGGCTCATAGTTTCGACTTTTAACATTTTTTCCTTGCTACGTTCGGCTTATCGGAACGATTCAGCATTGCGCTGATCTGCATACTTGTGGGAATACTTCCGCTAAGCAGTTTGTAATAATAATAATAGATTGACGCTTAAACAATATGTTAGTGCTTGGCCGAGCTTCTTCTCCAATTTATGGCGTGTGCCTTTATTTGTCCATTTGGAGTTCACATACAACATTATTACAAACATTTCGGAGTCATATATTCATCGGTGTAGTTTTTATGGTACTTTTTAAATTATTTTTGAGGTTAGGTTTATCCATTCAATAATCACAACAATCTCACGAGCTAAATTAAGAATTTCCACAATTTTAGCCTTAAAACGTTTATTTAGGCGAAAAAGTACCGAAATTACTCATATTTTTATTGTCACTCGAAAAATTCGTAATTCTTTTTTTTTTAATAACTTTGGGAAGTTTGTAACTAGATTGTTCATATTTGAGGCAATGCAAGTTGGCATCAGATACAATATATCTGTGCAGTTTTAGGAGTGTGCCACCAAATGAAAAAAAAAAAAAATATTACATTGATTATAAGATGACAATGGTTTGCGAAACAAAAATTTCAATTTTGCAATTTTTATTGGCACACTCGAAATTCATTCTAAAATGGTTATATACATGAAAAAGTTAATATAGAAATATATTCGTGAAGAATAAGGTAGAAAAACTTGACTTTGACTTTTAAGTTAAGGCATGCGAGTAGGCGTGTTAGCTAACTGTGTATGGTGGTACGGGGCGTATATGTTACTTTTTTTTAGTACATATCGCACACCGTCTTCAAAAGAGTCACAACTCAAAATAATACGTTCGTCAGAAAATGCGAAAAACTATTTCGTAGCACATGCTAATCATATGGGCAAGGGCTACTTTACCTTAGGTTTTTTAACAAATTATAACAAAAATTTGCTCCAGCTTTTGTTGAAAGGTAAATAAAAGCTCTGTGTACATTTTTAGCGCATAATCTCAAAAATGCCAAATTTTGAGTTGTGACTCTTTTGAAGACGGTGTGCGATATGTATATCTATCTTTGTTTTTTTTTTTTTTTGGCAGCCGCTATGGTGTGGTGATTAGTAGTGCGCGCTACCATTCCGCAGGGCCTGACTTCAAGGCCGGTTTAACCCAGCATCAAAAAAGGAAAAACAAATAATTTTTTTTCTAATAGCGGTCGCACTCGGCAAGCAATGGCAAACCTCCGAGTGTATTTCTGCCATGAAAAACACCTTCTCACAAAAATACAATCACCCTTCGGAGTGGGCGTAAAATTGTATGCAGTAGAGTGTGATAATTAAAATTGACTAGTCTTTGTGAATATATAATTTTGTAAAACAAGTTTTAGTAAAACTTATTTTTTTTATAATTGAAACATATTTTTCATCACACCTTGCCCACTATGCCAATCGCAGCACGATCACCGCATCCATACACACGTATGCCATAGCTAGGGTGGAGCGCTCAAATATTTGCGGCCAGATCTGCAAATTTGTCGTATTTTAGTTTAGTTTTCCACCAATCGAGAGGAGCTTTCACATTTTGTAATGTCTCCAGATTGTACATCCGAGCCTTCGCTTTTGCTGGAGGAATATAAAATTATTTTTAGACTTCACCGTTTAGCGCCGGTTATTGTCCGCCCCCTGGTTAGACAGACTTAGAGCCATTTCAACAATATTCGATTGGACTCTCTGCCCATGTACACATTCGCATTCGCAAAACATTCGTATCATTTAATGCGAATGCTAATGTCGAATGCGAATGTGTAAAATATTCGCAACATCCCTGGTGTCGGCGGGTGTTTGGTATTGCAAGTGTGTAGGTTGTTTTTGTTTTTGACGTTACGTAGCATAAATTGTCTGTCATAGTTGTGGGGGCATGTTTGCGAATTATTTATGTACAAATGTAGGCAAGTGTGTACATACTACATACATACTATATGCACATTAGAGTGCATTACCAAACATGTTACGGTTTCTCCACCGGAATTATAAAATTTATATTTTAAGACTTCCACCAAAAGGTTTCGAAAAAATATTAAGATTTACGTGGGCGAATCCGTATTGGAAATACGTCCAAAAATCTGATAACTTTGAACCCGTTGATAAATATTTTACCCATTTTTTATGAAGATTTTTTTAGCGTACATCACCTGAGGTAATTTTTTGAAAAAAAATAAATTAAAGAAAGTAGTTTTTTGGAGGTAATTTAAAATAGGTTTAGCCATGTAAATCTTAATATTTTGGCGGAAATCTTAAAATATAAGTTTTACTAGTAATTAAACAAACTTTTTTTAAGACATACTCTTTTATTAGTGGTTACTAAAAAAGCAAATCCACTGCTCTTTCATCTAATGTCAAAATTTTTTGTGGAGTTTTTTCTTTCTATTTTTAATATTCACTGTAAATATGAAATAAATCGGACTATAAATACGGATTTTTATAATATCTCGAAGCCTGCGCCACATATCGGGAAACATTTTTGTAGAGTTATTATTTTTCATGTAAGAAATAAACATTCCAAATATAAGGCATATCGCGCGCCACAATTACGGGTTTTGCAAATATGTATTTCGAAACCTGCGCCACTTATCGGGCAAACTTTTTTACGCAGTTACTTACTTTTAAGTAATAGAAATTCCAAATATAAATGATATCAGACTATAAATAAAAGTTTTAAAACATCCTGACCCCTGCGCCACCTAGCGGATTAGTTCATTTTTAATGAACGATGCAATGTCATCGGGCACTGAGCTCAGTTTGAAGTTTCAAGTCGCTGGCTCAGCAGGAAGTTGGTTAAAAGTTGATTGTCATCAAATTGATTGTAATAAAACAAATAAAGGAAAAACTTGTAAAATAGTACCGATTTTTTATTTTTTTTTTGTATGCAGAGTGATGCAGCCTAATGTATGAATATATGAAAGTATGTATCTCAAATAAAAAATTTATAAATAAGCAAAGAAAATAAAATAGCGTTAGCTCATTCTTTATGCCTTTTCCTTTTTTTTATCTTTGCATACTTTTATTTTCCTTTTCTCTTTCTCTTCCATTTTATGAATCGTTGACACCTTTGCCATTCGCAGGGCGAGTTGTTAGTTTTTATTTTTTATTCTATTGCTCTTTCATGGCTATCAATTCACTTACATACATAGACGTCCCTGCAAGGGAATTTTTACATATGTACCTACATAAGAGTACGCACTCAATCCACAGCACTGCAACGACAGAGCAAACGAACTGCAGTGCAATGCATTTCTTCGCTCGCTCACTGAATCACTTTGATTGCACTTTGATTTACTCCACAATTAGTTATTGTTATACAATATTTGTTTTATTCTTATAAAAATTTGTTTTGTCTTTTTTCCTTCTGTTCACACTTATGTATCTACTAAAAACAAGTAGAATTTTATTTTTGTTTTGCTTCTTTAAACTGTTTTGATTTTATTAATTGTAACTATTTTAAGCTATCAAAGATCTGTTTATGTATATGGGCATTTATGTGGCACGAATTTTTTTTGCTGTACCCGCTAAAGGCACAAAAACACAACTAAGCCAGCGATGACACTGTGCAGGCGACGGAACGTCCGTCAGAGGCAATGACACAGCACCAACACTATCACCACCGAGCGCCAGTCGAAAATATCAGACGACAGACAACAACAAGCGCCAAGCGCTCAGCGACTGTGACTATAGCGGCAACGACAACGACAACGACCACGGCGGTGATTTGCAGCGCCAATAGCAGACATTTTAGCATTTAGTACGCGCATAAATATTGAATAACTTTGCAAATCTGCTTACGTTCATACAAACATATATATGTATATGCATTTAGTACGTAAGAGTGACTTCTTTTCACTACCTACAGTCGATCAAGGAAAAAATCGGACAATCAATTGAAATTTGTACATGTATTCCAGGGAGGAAGGTTCCGTGCGCAGAAGTGGAAAGCTTTTGACTGCCATTCACCTGGAAGTGTCTAGAAGTGATTCTTGTGCGTACGGTTCAAATCGCAGCTCACAACGTGCGGATATTTATATCCACATATCCGCTGGGTAGCGACCAAACACCCGTTTGGGAGCGAGCTAAAGTGAAAAGGCGTAAAACTTCGCGTGGGCTGGGTTTTGGGTCGCAGCCTCGGATCAGACGCCACTTTTTCTGATGACGATCACGGTAAATGTATTAAGGACTCTGATTTGAGGGTATGCACCTGGAATATCCGGAGTCTTAATGGGGAAGGTGTCTCTGCCCGGCTGGTTGATATCCTCGGAAAGACTAAGACTGACATCACCGCCATCCAAGAAATGCGATGGACGGGGCAAGGCAAGGTAAGCGTGGGGCCTTGCGACGTCTACTATAGTTGCCACGTAAAGGAGTACAAATTCGGTGTGGGATTAGTGGTGGGAGAGAGACTCCGTCGCCGAGTACTGGCTCACACCCCCGTGGACGAACGTCTAGCAACAATCCGCATCAAAGCGATATTCTTCAATATATCACTCATCTGCGCCCATGCTACGACGGAAGAGTAGGACGCGGTGTCCAAAGATCTCTACTATGAAAGCTTGGAGAGAATCAGTGCCAGTCTCGGAAACTTCAGCCTCCACGACAAAACGTCCGATACGTACACTCCGAGAACAAAACATCGACTCGGACCACTATCTCGTTGAAGTCAACATACGCACCCGCCTCTGTGCACCCACCAATGCAAGGAAAGCTTGACGTAGAAAAGCTGCAATCACAACAGGCGGCGAATTTATTCGCCACTCGATTCACATACCTGCTCTCTGAGAGCACTCTACGACAAACCAGCATACGCGAGCAGTGGAGCCACATTTCCTGCTCACTAAGTACCGCCGCCGAAGAAACAGTCGGATTTCAGCGAGCCCCAAAGAACAACTGGCACGATGAGGAGTGTCAAGAAGCTGCAGAGAAAAAAGATGCCGCCTACAGAGCCCTCGACAGGCAATGGCAAACCTAGGAGTGTATTTCTGCCACGAAAAACAGCTTCTCATAAAAATACAATCGCCGTTCGGAGTCGGCGTAAAACTGTAGCTCTCTCCGATTTGAGGGACAACATCAAGGCGCACGCCACAAATCGGAAAAGACGCTCGGCCAAACACTAATATATGTATATGTAGGCGCCAATCTATATAAATAAATGATTAGACGGTCTTCGGCTAGGCGGGCATATGGACAACAGTAAAGTGCGCGAAATCGAGTATTCGTTTAAGAATGCTTAGGCAAAACCCCGTAAGCTTTGGGCTTCCACTTCCTCTGTTATCAGTATCGCCACCCGCGTTCAATACTTTCAGAGCTGGAGAGTTGCTGTCTATTCGTACGACATTACCAAGCTATTGAGGTATCTCATCGTTCCAGCGTCTGCGGTACTCGCCATCACTATCGGGCAAAGGCCCGAAAATCTTCCGCAAAATCTTTTTCTCGAATACTACAAGAGCTGCCTCATCGGATGTTACCATTGTTCGTGTTTCTGATTCATATTTATATCAGCATGGGCATGATGAGTGGCTTACTGGAGTATGGTTTTCGTACGTCAAGAGAGGCCTTTATTTCTCAATTGCCTACTCAATCCAAAGCACCACTTGTTGGAAAGAGTGATAATCTGTGAATTTTCAATGCTCACATTATTATTGGTGTTAACGCTTTAAAATGTGTATCTACACTGTACCTTTAAGAATCTTAAATTTTTCTTTCGAACGATGTATGTATGCATTAGAAGTTTAACCGCTTTTATGCTGTACCCCTCCAGTATACGTCCGCAACTGATGCCAAAAAAACATTCGCCAATTCTGTTCCTCTTTCTTTTGCAAAGTACCGCCAGTTGTTCACACGAAGTGTAGATGCGTCCTTCTGCGCTTGGTCCTCTAATTATTTCCGTGGGCACCCTTGCTTTGTTGTCAACCACTGGGTGCCGAATCGAAAGATATTTTCACCAGCGCATTATCATCTATGCCATTTTCCTTTCCCTAGTGTATTTCCCTACTGGAAGGACGGACTCAATCCCGATAGTACTTCTGCGGATGCCCCACAACTTAACCTACATATGTATTTCCTATTTCATCACAATCTATGTAAGTGTGGTTCAGAATCAAGAGCAGATTATGCTTGGCTGAGGAATCCAGTCTCCAAGAATACTTCTTAGTTATCACTTTGAATGAAAATTCGTCTAGTTCGCACAAAAACCCAATAATGACCAAGAATATTGCTCTCATTCCCTATCCTCGCTGCACCAATCAGCCACATTATACAAGCAGCAACAAGGACATCAAGTCGTTTTGATCCGATCAAAAAATCCGCGTGGACATGTTGTTCATAATTTTCTTTGAAAGCACAAAACCGAAAACTGTGAAGAGTTGGTCAGCAACCTTTTAACAGCCTACAAGAATATGGGATGCAATATGTCGCTCAAGATACACTTTTTACACTCACATTTAAATTTTTTTTCCTAAATATTTGCAAGCCGTTAGCAAAGAACACGGTGAGAGGTTCCATCTAGATATATCTAACATGGAAAATCGATACCAAGACAAATGGAGTCCAAGTATTTTAGTTGACTACTGTTGGCCACTAAAAAAAGATGTACCTGCTTCCCGAAAATCCTAAATGAAATTAGAAGATTATTTATTTTTCTTCATTAAATACAGTTTTCAAGCGCATTTAATTAAATTTTACTTAAATGTTGTGGCAAAAAAACTGAGGATAATTCAATTATTTCAATAATGTGGATTAGTTACAGGTTAGTTGTAAATTCAGAATAATTTAATTCAATTTTCTAAGGTAATTTTTTTGGATTAGTGTTATTAGTGATATGGTAATGTTTTTCTTTTTAATTTGTTTTATTTTTCAGACAATTGGTACTACTGGCTTTGGTAAACCTATTCATGGAGCAATATTCAGTTGAACAACGCGTAATAGTGATAAAAACGTTTTATGAATATGGACTTGGACAATATGTGATTTCAACAGGACAGTGGCACTTTCCACACAGCGCATGAAACAATGGCCCCATTTTGAACAAAGTTTCCAGGGCGCATTATCTAACGGAACAACGAGGTCAATTGGACTTCTGGATTCTTTCCTCTGGGGATACGTGAAAAGTATGGCTTAAGCTAATAAGCCAGAGACGATTTCAGAGCTGAAGAACGAAATCATATGCGTTATAAATTATACACAGCCAGAACAAAAATGCATGGAAAATTGTGATATGCGCATCCTGTGTTGCCAGAGGAGTCGTATTGCGCATTCAACGGATACTAAGGGTATTCTCGAAGTCGTACTCGGTGAACGGATTGCACGGTTTGCAAAGCTATACCATAGGAAAACCGGTTTTTACCATACAATCGATGTACCGTGCAAGGGCTTTGCAAGACTTCGAGAATACCCCTATTGTGTCTATATAGTCTAAAAAACATGATGAAATAAAAAAAAAACTTCGAAAAATTTTGTTATTTTATTTATAACAGAAAATCTGTGGT